GTGTGGCAGGGGGTTGGAGATTCATGATCCTTGAGGTCCCTTCCAACCCTGGCAATTCTGTGATTCTGTGTGCCTCATCCCAAGGGAAATGAAAACTAACATTTCCTGCCATGGCAAGGGCAAACTTGATTGCATGCACAGAATTTCTCTGTGTTTTCGAGCCATTTGCTAATTGGAAAGAATGAATGAGGTCTGAAGGGGCCTGGTACGTTTGCAGTGTAAAACAGGAAGAAAGTGGATTAAATATGTGTTAATTAGTGAAAATTTGTGAAACTGTTTATAGAGTTATAGGAATTACTTTGAGAGGGGTTGATGGGAAGATGCTTCCAGTAGTTCCCACTTAAATTTTATCACTGGATTTGAGGGGAGACTTAGAATAATCTAATGGGATTTGTATCCTCTGATGTTGCTGTTAAATAATACTTGATAGACAAACCTTCCTGAGGCTGAAAACTGTTTGGAAGGATGATTCTGCATTTGCGTTGAGCCAAATTCCAGCCGTTCGTAAGAGATGCTCTTCTGTGAAACTTCAAATCATAATTTTAATCTGAACTTAGGAGGAATGAGGTAGAATATAAAATTCGGGAAGAAAATATGAATATTTCAAAATGGAGGAAAATACATTTAACTCAAAATACTGCTATGCAGGTGAGGAGAAAAATTAATAGAGTTGTTCCCAGCTCTTAATGCTGTGACCACGATCCTGAGATTCAGTGTTGATCAAAGTCCTGCTGGAACGTTCCCTTGAAGGCCCCTTGTTGCATCTCTGGCTGCTCACCAGAGCCCTCTCTCATTTTTTAAGCTGTGTTTTTCTCATGGGCCTGCTGTTGTTGTATGGCTGCGTTGGTAGCTAAGTAAATGTCTGAGTTAGGAAAACAGTGACAAGTTTATTATCTCTGTTGTTACGTTGTTTATTGGCTGGTTGTCCAGATTATAACACGGATTTTTATAACAATGCATCTTATTAAAGCTTTGGGGCTTTTGATTTATAACATCTTCCAGCTGTTGGAATTGAAACATCCTGAATGGGCCCAGAAACCAAAATTAAAACAAACAACAATCAGCTTGATCTGGTCACTTGAACAACACCCCTGAACAAACCAGAATTGAAGAGGGGTTGTGTGAACCTCCCAGATCCTCTGGGCATGAAGCATGCACTGACCCAAGTGAACATGGTCATTAATAACATTTGGGCTTTGGTGGGCTGTTCTCCTTCCCCCAGTGTTACCATGGACACTGCAGCAATGGACAGAAATATTTGTTGCTAGCCGAGTTCAGATATTTGTGTTTTTACTGCAGCAATTGCTTTCTCAAAAGATTCTTAACATTGCACAACAAAATCACTCTACTGTGCTAAAAATACTAATTACTTAGTGCTGCAATCATGCTGCTTCATCCTTTCCCCAAAGTTCAGCTGTCCTGTGTGAGCAGTTTGCCATATATGCAGAAACTTGTGCGTGCTGGGATGGCCCAGAGCTCCTCTTCCCAAAGCACTGTGGTGGAGGCTGTGCCCAGTGGTAGTGTGAGCTGCTGTCTGCCCAGTAGATACAGCTGTGTTCTGCCCACGTGCATTTTAGGATCAGTTTGCAAATGTCAGAATCGTCATTGGATGAACTGCACCTTGAATACCAAGTGAACTAGCACTCCAGAAGCCTTTTTGTAATGAGAAGTACTACATTTTAGCTGAGCAAATATAAAGAGTGCATTGGGGTGTGCTTAGGATGCACCAGGGTTCTTGTTCTTAAATTTAATGATGCTTTTTATTAATCGTAGTCATCCTGAGCTACAGTCTGACCTTTTGTTTGAAATTGTAGCACAAGGACAGGCAGTTGTTCTGTCACACTTTGACCAAGTCAGGCAAACAGTGGCTGAGTGCTACTCAGTACCATTGAGAAAAGCACAGAAGGGGACGTGTGACTGATGTTATGGTACCTGTCACATCGATTCTGGAGAACAAAAACCTGCATTTCCGTACTGCTCAGCTCTCAGTTCTTCTTTTTTCTCCTTAACCTCATTGCTGAACTGCAAATTGTCACTGCTGTAGCCATGACTCCCACTATAGGGTCCCTTAAACCATCAGTGTGTGTTGACATTGGATTTTGAAGGCAGTATTGAACACAGTGAGTAGCAGAGTAGCAAGCAATGTAATTCACATCTTGAGTTCTTTCAGTCTGCCTTGTGATGCACAGTGGCTCTTCTTACTGCCTATCTGGGAAATGGCTTCTCTGAGCTAGTGAAGAAATTCTTCCATGTGCTGCAGAGTGTGATGACAGCAGTGCCTTGCTGAGATGGAGGATATTTACTTTGTGCATAATACTTTCATGTTTGTATGCATTTCTGTCATAATGAGTTTTCATCTTTCTTCCTCTTCTAAACCTCAGACACGGATGGATAAGAAGGACTGTGCTTACATCTCTCCTGCACAGCTGATGAGTGTAACTGTAGGCTGTGGGTGTGGATTTGTTTGCTGTCAGGCACACAGGGCTTCCTCAGAAGAGTGGTCACTTTACAAGTGCTCCTGGGGGGGAGGTTGACCAGCAGAGGCGATTCTCTTTTTGCAGATTTGTAAGCTTACATGTAACAATACTCTGCTAAAAACAGGACACGGCTGACTTACAACTCTACTGACAGTCAGACACCTGCTTTTTTCCAGTATGCCCCCTGGGACCATGGAGGTGTGCTCTGCGTCCTTCAGTTACTGATCCTCAGAACTGTCTGAGCTAGCTCTGCATCCTGTGAGTTCAGGAGAAGCTCACAATTCATGCAGCTTTGTTACATACGACTAAAGTAAAACTGCCTTATTGAGCTGTTCAGAAAACTTACCTCCAACATCCTGAGTGCTGTACAAGACCGCAGGCTTATATTTGAGTCTGAGTTTACATTTATTGAAAATTCTCCTTTTTGTGACCCCCTAAGAAAACCTCTCAGATCTCACCTGCTTTCAGTGCTCTATGGCTTGTCAGCTTCTGAGGTTTATCTTGACAGTGGAATGCAGCTGGACCTCTTACACTGGAAATCACCTGAAGGTTAAATTCTGCTTGGGAATGTTACCTGTTCACAGCTGCTTGAAAAAACATGGGTTTTTTTCCAAGCTGCCAGGAATTATTTTGTCACTAAAGTAGTAATGCTGACAGTGATTAAACGTTGCTGAAGGAGATTCATAAAGGAATTCTACCAGTGTTGGTAGGCATGGTGGCACTGGGTTGGGGTCGGGCTTGAGGATCTCAGAGGTCTTTTCCAGCCCTTATGACTCTGTGATTCTTTGCCTCTTTTTAGAAGTCACAGTTGGATGATGTTATGTAATTAGTTTCAGAATAATGTAAAGCAGATTTTAGCACGTTACACTTGCAGATGGACAAGGAGTAGAAGATGATCCTGTATCTTAAAGGTTGGTAGTGCTCTATTGGGAAGCAGTTTGCCTATCCATATTTCTGTGGGCCCAAGGAAGAGGGAAGTGTATTTTTTTCTTACGTATTCTAAAACGAAGGTCTGTCATTCATTTGGAGGTACAGAAGGAAATGCATAACTATACAATTACTGTGCCTCATTTCTGGTTTAGTGGAGTAAGTTGGGCATATGGAGCAATACACTGCAGGCTGTGGGAAGCTGGTAGTTTCAGAAAGAAATGTGCAGAAAAAATGAAGAATTCTGCCATTCAGTGTGGTTAAAGCAGATTCTGAGACTGGATTTGCTTCCAGAGATACCCAGTGACAGCTAACACTGAACTTGTGGCGTTTGTTTTTGTTTTAATTGTTCTGCAGTGAGGAGAGTTACAATGTCACAGATTATTCCTTAAGGGATCAGCTGGTGGTACAGCAGTGTGACAGTGAGGACCTGACCTCTTCTCCCATGAAGAACACTTCAGCCATGCTGTACTCACGGCAGAGCTCCCCAGTTCACCTCTTCAGACTGTCTGTCCTCAGTAACCATGCAGGAGAGAAGGTGGAGCTGCTTCTGGGAACAGAAACCCAGTAAGTAACAGCAAATAGCAAAATGAAATGTTAATATACTGGAGGAAGCCATATACCTCTCCGAGCTTCTCTGCAGTAGTTTTTCGCTTACTGACCTGCCTGTCTTTCTTTAGGGAAGGCCTAAACATCAGGTTCTTCATCATAGAGCAGTGGGCATGGCCACAAGCTGCTGGAGCTCCTAGATACAGTCTGGAGTTGGGTGGTCCTTGTGGGTCTGGGTGCTGGGATCCACAATCTTTGTGCTTCCAGCTTGAGATATTCCAATTCATTTGAACTGCAAATGTGGCTGAGGTATCTGAGCTCCCACTTGTAGCATAAGTATGTTTGTTTAAATACTTCTTTGACAAATATTCTTCTGAGAGCTGGAAGTTGCCCATGAACACAGAACCTTTCTGTGATAACAGTTATGCCCTGAGAGCAGGTGCCTAAAGGAAAGCAGAGTAGCAGCTCATGCACTGCAGTTGAAGGCACTCCGTATATCGTGCGTTCTGCAGCCTGCTTACATGCACTGCTGTCCTACAGGTGGCTGAGAACAGCGCTCAGGGCTGAATGACAGCAGGGTGCATTCCTGATGTGCGCTCTGTCAGGAGCACTGCAGTGGTGGGCTGAGTTCCAGCCCTCTGCAGCACTGCTCCCATCTCACCCTGCAGCACTGCAGGCACAGCAGCTGACTGGCAGGGAAATGCTGCTTTCTGTGCGTGGGTTGGGAGATTTCCTTTTTGTGGGTCTTGATAGGATGACCTTGAGAAATCTCACTGCAGGTTCCCTTAGGGTTGCTCTGTCTGTTACTTCTGTGCTGGTTTCTTCCAAGCATCTGATCCTAGTAGTTATCTGAGCAGCGTGGCGTTTATAGCACAGCACAGCTGCATCCTGAGGCGTGGTGGTAGCAAGCAGACATCGGGTGTGAATGCTGCGTGCTGCTGTCCTGCAGCTGTGGGTTGTGCACAGCTGTAACAATGGTTGGATGGTGTGGGAGCTGGAGCAGCACAGCAGTGATGGGGAGGAGGAGTTTGGCATCGCCTGGGGAAGCTGTGGAGCTGTGCTGGGATAGAGGTGGTCCTTGTTCTCCTGAAGCAGTTCTGGATGTGTCCTGCTTTTGAACAGAACAACAAGCAGCATCTTGTTCTTTCGGGTGCAAGTCCCCAAGAGGCACTCGTTCCTCTGTGGTGCCATTAACTTTCACACAGCCTTCACAAAAGTGAAAGATCTTATCTGTTTGGTGGGAGCTGGAGGCAGACAGAAGGCACAGAGCACAGAATGCTCCAGACGGAGCCCAGCCTGGAAACATTTGCATTTTAGGTTTGCCTTCGGAGTTTAGAATAACCCTGAAAGAAGCTACAGATCATTAATGATATCTATTAAAGATCTCATTATAAAGTAAGCAGATGATTCAGACTTGTTTGGAAATGCTTTTTTATTGGGGAAAAATGAGGCGCATTTTTAGTGGTCTGGTCTTCTTATAAAAAGACGTTTTGTTCTACAGATTTGTTACTGCTTTGCTATATGTGGTTTGTGGTATAAATAGCAGTCTAGCAGATTGTCATCAAGAGGAAGAGTTCTGACAATAATTACTCGATTTGAAAGCTGTCTTATTATAGATTATTGTGAACTGCATACATGGGTTGTAGACAAACCCTGGTGTACGAGGACAGGCAGGCAGCGTGCAGCTGAGGCCAGGCTGCAGTGTTTACTGAACACAGCTTTGCACATTGAAGTCAAACATTGATGTCAGCTCAGACTTGTAGTGCTGTGTGATCACGTTCTGCCACTTGCAGCCCGAGGCTCCTGGAGGGAAGGACGAGCTCTGGGCAGGAGCTGTGCAGGACGGCTGTTGGCAGCAGTGTGGCCATGGCCAGGGCTGGCTCAGACCCTGCGTCCTGCGCCCATCCTTGTGGCACTTCTCCCACATACAAGTGCTCCTGCTGCTGCAGCATTCCTTGGAGTGGAATGGTCATTTAGCGTGAGGTTATCCATTGGTGCTGGCATCTGTTTTCATATTTCTGTTTTCCAGATTGTCTTTTTATGCATGAAACATTGATTGTCTTGTAAAAAATACATTAAAAGCTACAGAAGAATAAAGTAGAGGTTTTCCCAGACAGGCTGAAAGATAGAAGAGATATTTTCTTGACTGGATTTTTCATATTCTTTAATACTGCCCGTGGGGAGAGGGGGACTCCAGTGGGAGTATTGTCATAAAGTAAATGCTGCTCAGATGTATGAAGAAAGGAATATTTGGACTGGAAGGTAGTCTGAAATTACCCCATTTTTGTCATTTGTCTGAAAGAAAGAGCAATTCTTGTGTTAAGAAAATGTGAATTTGTAAGTAATGTGCTTCTAAAGCTACAAACAAAATTAAGTACATGCAAAACACAGCATATTCCTTCACATTTTTGTTGAAACAACAAGTTTAGTATGTCCTTAGATGTTTTGTGAGAACATCAGGCTTCTAGGGAAGGCAGATGTTCATTATTTCGAGTTTAAAAACCAGTGGTAGCAACAAAAATCCTTCAGCCCTGCAGCTCCCTCATGTTATTTTAACCTGTACTGACAGCAAAGCCCTTCAACAAACAGGAGATAAAACCAGTTTACTGAAATGGAATTATGTCCTTGTTTGCCAAAATTCAAAGCTAGAACGAGTAAGTTTTTAGCTTAGTTGTTACCTGGGGTGAGGATTAGCTTTATTTTCCTCTCCGGTTTGGCATCACTTCTGCATCTTCTGCTCCTTTCCAAACTGAGCTGTAGTAATTTGCACTTGTTGTATGTGGCATGATGCTTAGAATCTAAATAATTCTTTCTGCTGTCCTCAGAAATGCTGATGGACAATCTGAAGCCCAGTGATGTGTTCAGGCCTCCACCCAGGACTTGATCTGAGCTGTCTCTCATATTTCCCACATCAGCACATCTGGAAACATAAATGTTTATGTGCATGGAGAACTTATTTTTCTGACTCTTGCTTTTCATTCTAAGTATACTGTGCTGCTAAGCCTTGCTCGGAGGCAGCCTGTTGATAATTGTGTATTAGAACAGCTTTATTATGATTGTCAGATGCTTCAGACATGAGGTGGACTACATAAATGATATAATCATAATTTTGGCTTTGCTCTTTGCAGGAGTGAAAGAGCTCGCTGGATTACAGTGCTTGGACAAGACAGAGACAGGCAGAGCACAGACAGAACCAGTAAGTTCAGCTACGAGCAGCACTGAGCTCTGTGCTGTGGGACTGGAAACGCACTGCCGCTTAGTGGTGCCTTCAGTACATGGATGCTGTACAGACCCCTGCTTTTCCTGGGCTCTGTTACTCCAGTACAAGTGGAGTTGCCATCCTTTCCTTGTCCAGAGGCACTTCTTTGAGTTCTGTTTTGCTCCATGATTTCTGTTAGTGTTGATTGATGTTGGTTTGGTCAGCTGTTCCAGTCTTTTAACAAAAGAGCACAGCTCCTGCACATGTGTTCAGTCAGTTTGTTGGGATGTACCTGTGTGATGGCAAAGCCACTTGCTGCTGCCTTTGGGTTTTGTTTTTTTTGGAGTTGAGAGAATATTGTAAGTTACGGACGTACACATCTTCATAGAAGATTTGTTACAGGAATTGTGTACCTCAGCTTTTTTTCTTCTACAGCTTTGACACAGGTAGAGATCATCAGAACTTACACAGCAAAGCAGTCAGACGAGCTGTCTCTTCAAGTTGCTGATGTTGTTTTGGTTTATCAAAAAGTAAATGACGGTGAGTATTGGTGGTGGTAACCACCTGTCAGCACTGCAGATGAGTTTGTTTCCTCTTTAGCTACCAACTTGAGTCTTTTGGTTCAGGTTTGCAAAGGATAGCCTCTGTTTAAGCAGCACTTGTTACAAGTAACTCATCACCTGTCATAGCCTACAGAGATAAAGAGCTGGGGATGGTACAGGCTGGGTGGTTTTGACATGTGAAATATCCACAGACCTGAAATTGAATTGTCTAAAAATGTAGAGGCTGGGCACTTCATCAGGCACCAGGTTTGTCACTGCACAGGTACACTGCTGAAAAGTGCTGCCACGGTGTCTTCAAAAGTGTTTGAGAAGGGTTCTCACTCTTTGTTCACGTTTGCAGGTTGGTATGAAGGGGAACGACTGCGGGATGGTGAAAGAGGGTGGTTTCCCATGGAGTGTGCAAAGGAAATCACGTGTCGTGCCACGATTGACAAGAACATGGAGCGCATGGGGCGGCTGCTGGGACTTGAAACAAACGTGTAGATGATTTCTGCATCCTCATATTGTGCTGCAGGATTTGCACTAAACTGCTGTCAGCAGAGGCACAGCTGCACACACTACAGTTCTTGCATGGAAGACGTGAGGCACAGATGCATTGAATACAGTGACAGCACTGATACTTCAGATAGCCCTTTTTGATTCACGTTTTGAGAGCTCTGAACTGATGCCTGGCTTGAGTAAGAGCAGTTTTTATGAGAATTAGGTTCCTGGGCAGTGGAGATCAGCCATACTTTTTTTTTTTTTTTAAAGGAGATTTCCCTTTCAGCTTTGGTTCCCTCATACCCATTTGTATTCTTTCTCCACCTGTTTTCTTGATCATTTTTACTTTCTTTCTTTCAAATTTAAAACCCCTCTGTTGCAGCCTGAATACCAGAAGCTCACCAAATAAATACATACAACTGAGCTGGAAGGACAACAGGAGCATAACAGTGGGGGAATGGAGTTCCAGCTCCTAAAAACTGCAGTATTACATTCCCAGAACCAGAAGAGATGTTGAATGGGATACTTCCCTGTGTTGTCAAAACCTGTGTTTAGCCTGAGCTACAATAAACAGCATATAATTGATGAAGGACTGCCTGTCCAGCAGCCCAGGGTGAGCCACATTCTCACACAGTGAGATTGCCAATCTGAGTTACTGGAGCTGACACGAGCTCCAGAGGAACCAGCCATACCTCGTGTGGTGGTGCTGGGTGTTACTCATACAGCTTGTGCTCTCTTCCTGCTGCTCCAGAAAGGAATTGCGAAAGCAAGCAAGAGGTACCAGCTTTTCGAAATAAAGATATTGAATGTCTCATTCTCTGATACGTTTTCTAGCATGACCGTCAGCCTTGAGCTTGTTTTCATTAACAATATTAATATACACAGTTTGAGCCCTTTGATGTCCTTCTGCCAGTGTCCTCCTGTGCCTTATGTTGTTCCTCAAGGAAGATTTTCCTGAAACCAGTTTTTGCCAAATGCAGAGGCCATTCTGTCCCGTGTCTCCACTCCAAAAGCTCTTCTAGTTCTGGATGCCTTTGTGGCAGCAATTGCTTTTCCAATATCTTTTGCTAGGTTGCCCCTTTAAAGATGGAGCCATTTTTCAATACTTCCTACTAAAAATAATTCAAGCTGTAGAAAAACAGCCATACACATAACATAGGAATGTGGTTTTTTTCTCACTAGCATCAACAACCTGTGCCATGGTTCAGAACTGAGATGCCTGCACTCACAGGCTGTTTCCTGGTGTTTTAAAGCAGTATAACTGCTGGAAATCTGCCTGGTTTTAGTTTTTCCCAGGTACTGAGTTACATCTTCATATTAAGTTATTGCCTGGATGGGACCTACAGTAAACATGAAGTGCTTTTTCCTGTGTTTTTTTTATTTCTTCCTTCTTGCTCTGCTGAGGAAATGAGTTATTTCCTTCTGTGGAGGTAAAAGTTCAACTGAACTTGAGATCGCTGAGTATCTTTGTTAGCATCACGCTGAATCCACAGGCAAAACCAGAAGGGCAGTAATAAGACCCATGGGGCTGATGAAGCTGCTGTGCCTTCAGTGTAGGAACAGTCAGGGCAGCAGCAAGGAGAGGTGTGGAAGCAGAGTGGACATCCCTGTCCTCCCCTGCCCCTGAGCAGGAGGGGGAGTCCTGGGGTGGAGGAACGCTGACTGGTGCTGCTTCACATACACTCTTCTTGGCTTTGGAGAAGACCTGTCACAGTTGCACTTCACACAACACCTGTTTTTGCACCTGCAGTTTAGCCTTGGAATGCCACTGAAAAAAGAACTAGTTAATATGGTGTGAACAGAAAGCACTCGCAGTTAACTTAACTCCAGCTCCTCTTTTCTGTATATAGATGTGACAGTTTGTATAGCAATCTCCATCTCTTTATGGACCAGCTGATAACAGAGCAGGCTTCAGCATGCAGGTGCAGTACCAGGCATTCTGTCAGTCCTTGTGGTTTTTAAAAGGTTCTGGACACTGTTCTACATAGAATGGAACATGCTGGTGTGTGAATAACTTTGTTTATAAATATATACCTCTGTAACAATTGAAAAGCTGTTAGAAAGACATTTGTACAAAAATGCTTCCTTTGGCAGTCTGACAGCAGCTTTCCAGCCTTTGGGATTAATTTATAAGAAGTGAACTGATAAAATGGTAATGAAGCAGATTATACATTGAACAGAGTCTTATTTAACGTAGTAGAAAAACTGCTAATATTTTAACAAAGAATTTATTGTACACAGGCAGATGTTTAACACAACTGAATGTATAAACCCAGGCATTAATTTTATTCATATTTTTAATACACTGTATATATTTTTCATACCTGTTTTTTCCAAAAGTGCTGTAATGTTTTTAAAAGCGTTTTTCTTATGCTCAGACACGGTTCTTAAAGAATCAAAGACTTCTATGATTTTAGAGGACAACAATCAATAAAATCCTTACTAAAATACAGCCTCAGTTTCTCTTCATGGAGCACTAAAGTGCAGGTCATTAACACCACTCTTGTCAGAGAAGTTCTGTGTGTCTCAGCACCGCCCTCCCTGCTGGCAATGGTGTGTGAAGTTGGAGCAGTGAACCACACAGGTGTGGGAGAACAGCTCAGCTCTGAGCAAGGCAAGAAGCCACAGGGCTATATAGGGATGAGGTCACTTGTCTGAAGGAACCACAGCACTGAGGACAAGAGCAAAGCAGGCACCTGCCTTCGCTGCGTGCCTCTACAGTGTGATCCACCAGCAGTGCCTTCAAGGGAGGAGGGAAGGATAGGAAGGGTTCATGGCATAGAGCAGTTAGAGTGAGATGGGAAGTATCCAGTTCATTACATAGCTACACTAACTGCAGAAAGACTACTTCAATTTGTAACTCAGCACAGTGTCCGAAGGACAATGTGTCAACTAAAATCACACCTTCAGCTGAGCAGTAGCAGCCAAGCCCAGCAGCCAGCTCCCTTCATCTTGCTGCAGCTGCTTCTCCAGCACAGCCCTCCCCTGCCCCAGGCCTGGCCACATACACCCAGCACTGCCACCCTGCAGGGAGCTGCAGTGGAACACACAGAGGGGTGCCCAGCCCAGAGCTCCTCCGATGCCCTGCTTGGGGCTGCAGTGACCACTGGGGCCAGCCTCATCTGCCTGCCTCCTGCCACGGGCTGGGAATCCTTTAGCTCTGCCTTCCCTGCTCAGGTGCAGCCACCACACTTGGGCTGCCTCATCAGTGTGATTGCACCCACCTGTGAGGAGCCCAAACAAAGGATTACCAAAACTCACAAAAATGGAGAGGGGAGTTTTTGCTGACCTGATAAAGCAGCACCCCCTGAAAAGCACTGAGGGTTCTATTCAAGCAGCTGACAGCACCAGCACCATCCTGGGACCCATCATCTCCCACACACAGAACACCAGGCCTGTAGCTGTGCCCAGAACAGCCATCCTGCCTGCAGTGCTCACAGCCTTTGGCTTTCATGCCAGTCTGAATTCCCCCCGTGCTCTCAGACATCTCAAATTGAAGGCATCATAACAAGCAGTTCACCTTAAGACAAAGCTTTCCTTTAGTTTGTACAAACACATTTTCAGAGGGTTTGCTGGTTTTTGTTTCTGCCTCCTAGCAACCTCCCTGTGTTTTCATTACCCATAAAGAAGTCACCGTTCTGTCTATCTGATGGAGTTCTGAGATGAGCCTCTGAGATTTCAGAGAGAAGGACCAGAAACTCCCTGCCGGCATTAAGCCCTTCTGCTCTGCCCCCACCCAGCACTGCACTGCTCCTCGGGCCCGGCGTGGTGGCTTTTATCAGAGCAGAACTGCACACAGATGAGCGGCCAGACACAGCTGTGTGAGCACGAGGCCGTGACATCCCAGCTCCGAGTCTGCCGCTGAGAAATTAACGCCCGATCTGCAACCCTTCCTCATGCCGCTTCCCCACGCAGGGCTGCGGCTGACGCTCAGCACAAAGCTCGCGGCTCCCAGTCGCAGCTCCCCGCCGGCCGCGCATTGCGGGACGCAGCCCCGGGGCCCCCGCAGCGCCAACCGCGCCCGCACCGGCGCTTCCAACCCCGAGCAGCGGCACCGATTGACTCCGCTGCGTCTTTACGGCGCCCCGCACCCGCTCCACGCCGCCCCTGTAACCTAACCAACACAACGTGTCTCTACTGAGCTCTTTAGAAAGCACCGCTCCAGTCACTGCAGGCGGCCTTGAAGCCGAAAAATGAGCGGGTCCTCCATCGCTCAACGAGAGGGCCGGCTCTGCGCCCATGGAAAAGGGCAGCACCGCACCGCACCAACCTTCCTCGGAGCCGCAGCCCGGGGCAGCCCAGCACGGCGCGCCGATCCGCGAACGGCCTCAGGAGAACAGCGCGCAGCCCCGGGAGCGCCGCCAAAGGGCAGCGGGGCGGAGCGGAGTCCGGTGGCGCACAGGAGCGCACGGCGCGTCGCGCCGCTCCCCGCCCGAGGCCACGCGCAGGGCCCGCACCGCCACCCGCACCGCCACCCGCACCGCCACCCGCACCGCCACCCGCACCGCCCGATGCCCGCAGCAGCTCTCACCTCAACGCCGCCGCCTCTCGTGCCGTCGGAGCCGCGCACGCAGCCCCGCCCCGCTGCAATCAACGCACCTGCAGCCGCGCGCCGCGAGCAGCCGACACCGCGCCTGGGAGAGAAGTCCTTTAATGCGACACGGACAGAATAAAAAAAAAACAATTTAACACAACGAAACCTTAAGGCGGATTCCACCGCCACTGGAAACGGAGTCCCGCTCGGCGCCGAGGGGCACAGAAGGAACGGAAGGGGCAGAACGAGGGCCGCGCTGCAGCGTTCCTTCCCCAGCACCGCGCACAGCACGAGCTGCTCGCTGCAGAGCCGCCGCTCGTCATCGACGACAGCTGAGGGAGCGCTCTGCATTAAGCGGAGCAGGAGCCGCTGCCGGAGCAGCTGCAGTGGATGAGGAACGAACGCTGCAGCCTCACAGGACCTTAAGAGGAGGGACAGAACCAAACGTACACCAACTAACGCTGCTAACGTTGCTGCTTTGTTATTTAAAAAGCGACACAGAAGACATGCAGACACAGACACGCTGCTGCAGGAGCTGCCCTCAGCCTTCCCTCCAGCTCAGTAACTGCTATCAACAACCAAACAAAAGAGGGGATGTCGCTTTGAACCAACAGCCGAAGTGCATCAGCTGTAGCGCTCGCTCTGGAATCGAGGAGCGAAATTCCTGGCACTTTCATTCTCCTGGGTGGTGATTAAGTCTATAATAGCTGTCAGAACTGCTGTGTCCCTGCTTTTAGTATCGTTCCAGTCCACAGGGTGGGGGTTCTCTATTTTCTCTTGGAGAAGATCATCGAGCTCTTGTCTTAAATTCTGCAGCCAGGAAGCGTGGTGGAAGGAGAGAAAGAGAGAGAGCACCCATTAGGAAGCACACAGTGTTACCCCAGTAAGCACAGAGCCCTCTGCCCTCTCTTCTCATCCCTACACCTGTTGCTCTTACACACATTCATTTCAACATTGCTATCCTTAGCATCAAAAGGCAGCTTTCTAAAACGAGCAGTTTTGCCTTTTATGACACAATCATTGCTGGCTTACTCACTCATTAGCTGACTATTTCAGGTCTAAAAGTATTCAGGTTTAGAAAAAAAAAGTCAGATGCCATTTCTAGGATCTAATATACAGCTAAATTCAGTTCCTCTTCCCACTGGAGAGCATCACTGCCAGCTGAAGAGCCCCCATCCTCCGATTTCCACATCCATCTGGTTACTCCATGGGCACACACAGAGCTTTTGCCACAGAAAACTACAGAAATCACACTCTTAATTCTCTTCCTGTAAGAGATGTTCATAAATCCTCACCATCTGCCCTGCAACACTTCTCCATAACCTCCAGGATTTTTCAGCATCCCCCGAACTTATCAGCAGAGGCTGCACAGCTGAACACCACCTCCCTTCCACCCCTGCAATAGCAGCACAACCCTCATCCCCATCAGTGCAGCTATTATGCTGAAAACTCAAGGCTATGAATTTATGCTGAAAACTCAAGGCTATGAATTTGGAGTGCCTGCTCCTAAGGCCAAACAACACAATGGAGATCGTTACTGCTTACTTCTGCCCAGTTTATCAGATGAATCAGACTGTTCTGAATGCTACTTTTACCACCACTGTTTACAGAATGACCTGGGTTGGAAGGGACTCAAGGATCATCCAACCCCGTTTAGTCTGCATTCATACACTTACCTTCAGAAGATAAGTTTTGTTTACCTATTATACCTAAAATATTTACTGAGAATACATGAAAAATACTGATTTGTTATACCTCTACAATGATACATTAAGTAGGTACAAATATAAGGTCTCTAAGAAGAGCTACTGCTACACTGAGATTCCATATACACAGTTATTTGAACACAGTCACCTTAACTAAGTGTGCTATTCTTGCCGGAGACTGGAAAACTATCCATTCATCCACAGCAATGGTGTCCTGATCTTTATCCTTCTGAATGGATATGTCTCCTCCGAAGAACAGCAGACAGTATGGAGACACTTCTGTACAATCATACAGGTATATCTGCAAGAAGACAAAATTTTCCAGTCACTCTTGAAAGCATCTCAACTGACATCACAGCCATTCAGGAAACTCGAAGCAGAATTCCAGAAGATAATTTTTTCAGTCATTCATTGCAAAGCAAATCTGAAGCAACTCAGCTGGAAGAGTTACACCAAATGAAACAGGAGCAAAAATGGTCCCAAATGCAGTCATTTACATAAAGTGAAGAACCAAACTAATTGTCCCATTGGCAATCAAACAGGAAGAAGAGAGTTCACAACGCATTTCAGTTCTCAGCATATTTAGAAGCATTACATTGGCTAGAAATACAAAATACACATTTAAAAGCAGAAGTAAGCACCTAACAGAAGCTACTTAGTTTCTTATGGAACAATCCCACCAGTATTACAGGGAACAGCCTCTGAGGGAGTGTAAAACACATGACCCAAAAGAGGAAAGCTTCAAACAAAGCTGCTCCATACCTTCTGGGCCACAGAAAGAGGCACTGTTCACATACTCCCTCCACCTTAATTGAACCTTATTGAAGAGCTACAAAATTGAATTACACAAACATAAACCTCCACGTACACTGCTAGTTCTCATCTTCAAGTGGTACACCAGCCAGTTATAATGGAACTCTGTTTCTTCCACATTAACTGATTTAGGATGAATATTCACTGTTCCATCTGTCTTGGTGCAAACTTTCACCCTTAAAAAAAAGGAAAGATTGACAACTTAGCAGAATCAGGCTGTCCAGCAAAGTGGTGAGTGTAACAAATCTTGTGTTGGGTGGATCTCAGAGTTGAATCTTCCTTGCAGCTGGTTTATACCTAGCTCCACCACGTGGCTAAGATGCAAAGCAACTTCCATCAAATTGGTAAACGTTCTGTTAAGTGCATTGTTAAGGTAATTTTAAGCACACCCATCTCAGTTTAAAATGCAGAAGTAACTGACCAGAAATAGTGCCAGCTGCAGATAGAACTACATTAGGCAGAAATCTGACCACCTACACTTGTATCTACTACAGAAAAAGATCACTTACTTTTGTTTTGTTTTTAATTCCAGCACAGTGAATGCTCTTAAGTTTGCTGTTTCTGCATTACTTGCTCAGAAAGCTGATCCAAATGTTCAACCCTTCACTCTGTCTTAAATCATGTTTAAATCATGAGAGCATAGATATCCCTTCTCATAAGTATACTATTATTAGGAATAACAGTTATTAAGAATGAAGAGCCTGATAATATGAGAAGTGTTAGATGAAAAGACCAGAATTGCTGGGCTCTGTTTTGACAAGCAACAAGGGACAGTGTTTCAACTGCTGCTGCAGATAGAAGAGAGACAGTGTCTCCTTCAGCAGCTGTGTTATTAATATATTTCCGCATCACAGATTGTATGATAATGTCACACCAATTATTCCACATATCAGCCAATATCCAAACAGTCAGGCAACGTCTCAGTTCCTGTAAGTAAGGATCAGCAATCCTATGCTCAGATCTGTTGCTCTCAAATGAGGTAACCCACATCCATGGATGATCTGTACAAAGAGATCCATTCATGCATTTTAGCCATTGCTCTGCCTTGCCCATCTATCTGATATAGAAACCACCGCCAATGCAAACAAAGATCACACCAAATCCTTACATTTTCCTCTTTTTGCTAAAGCTTGGCCGGATCTTTGCAACTTTTGGATACAAGCCAGCACAGATGACAGCTTTGAGCAACTTCTCATTATCTGTAGAAGACAGCAAAGTAAGTAACATGGTTCTGCAAACTGTGAATCTCACTGATCAAAAAGCTTTCAATTTTCCTCATTATTTACCTGAGTTGGTATTAGACTTGGGATCCTTGGGGTCTCTGCTGTTCACAAACCCAGCTGCAAGCAGATGCTCAGCAAATTGTCCTTTCATGTTATGCAGCATCTAGGAAACAACAACAACTGTCCCGGAACGATGCTGTGCAAAAAAGCAGCTCTTCCCAACAAAATGTTTCTCTTCCCTGCCCCTAACAGCCAGAATGTTACCTGGAGAGTATTTGGAGACAGGAAATATTCCCAGCAATAGTCTTTTTCAGTTCGGAATCCACGCCGACGAGTCTCTTCCCAGCCCTAGAAATTCAAACCATGGTTCAAAGGAATCTTTTAGGAGAAAATATACTAACAAAAATTAAATGAAAAAGGACAGAGCAAAAAACTGGAGGTCAACAAAAATTACATTTTTTTTTCCTCTATGAGAGACAAAGCAGACCTTTCCAACTCTTATATTATATACACACACTGCACTTGAGTAGAAAAGCATTTTTGAATGGTGAGAAGTGAAATCTAGTCAAATTTGCCAGAAATTCATTTGTTGATATTAAAAGTAGCAACCATTTTTCCACACTGTTTATTTAGGGCCTTCTTGCCCAATGCTACACCACGAAGTCTCCAACACTTCTGAAGTCAGCCCCAGCCTACTGCAAAGGACAAGAAGCACCGATTCAGTGACTTCTGAAGGGCTGCCACAGCATTCTGAGTTCATCTCTCATCAATCACAGGTTTAGAAAGCACCAACATAACCAGGAAGTTATGTTTCCAACAGCACATCCATAAGAAACTGGGCTATTAAGGTGGAAAACAAGGCTAGAAGGGTGAAAACTAATTTGGTTTTGTTTCTGCAGAAATCAAGAAATACTTGAGAGCATACACAGATCAGATCTTTCCTTAGAATAAAGCTTAAAACCCAAATAACAGTTTCTGACGGAGAAACATTAAAGCATGCTTACTGTGAAAGCATTCACCACAGTCAGATGGTCACTTTTAGTATTCTTCGACAGCTCCTTTCTTCTGGCATCTGCCACTTTCTCTTTGCCCTAAAAACAATTTGAATTTAGAGAATACTCATGACTCACAGGCCATTCCTCTATCCAGTTCTCTTTCCCAGCTTACTGAACATATACAAAGCCATACTTTGTATGCAGCATGCACAGAAAGTAATGCTACTTCCAATATTCTGTAGGCAAATGTGTGTACAGTACGTCATAGTACGTGTAGGCTATCAGTACTAATAAAAACTGCAGTTAACATGGAAGTAAGATTAAAGTGCTCTTACACTACATTATCTCAGTGGTATCCTAACATTCTTTAGAGATCCTTAACATCTTATTTGTAATTCCTGTTTTAGAAACGTTACCAGAGGAATGACAAAAGGGTCTTTGAAGCTAAGGCTTGCTGCAATCGTAAGTACTGGATCCAAGCAACAGAACAAAGCTCCAAAGAGGATCATTTTTCCAATATGTGGCTCAACTGGTAATCGTGCTAAATGCACACCGAGTGGAGTCAGCTCCTCTTGTTTGTCCAAAGCATTCTGTCAGAAGAAAAAACAAGATATTAGTGATATTTGAAGTTGGAGGATTTCCTTGAAATAATCATTGCAAAATTTAGAAAACAAAGGAAAGCCTAGTATCTGGAAAAGGCAGCTGGCGTTTAATAAGGGGTCAGAGGCAGGAAAATGACCATGCAAGTTATGCAGAAGTGGAAACGTTCAAGAGATACAATAAAAGAGCAACCACCTTTAATTGCATTTCAAGTGGTTTACTGGGCTCAGAGTCCTTCCATACAAGAGTACGAAGACTAATTAATATTTTTGAGTGCCCTACTGTTCTTTTGGCCAAGCATTTTTTTCAGATCCATATCTTTCTGTTAATATCACTTCTGTTTTTTCTTTTACTCTTTGCTACTTACACAGCCTTGACAGGGCAAGAAGCCAGTAATACGAACGTGTCATAGATCTCTCCCTCCCCATCATCCAAAAGCACACTCACATTTGAGACCTCTCTCTTACTTGCCCACAGAAAATACATCTCCAACTCCCCACTGAATTGGCTGGAACTCTTGATACAATCAGACATGAGCAGCGTTTTACAGAATTACCCAGGTAAGTATCTGTAGGGAATCTGAATAAGAGTTGTGCCAACTGTTTTCAGCAATTCAGGAACTACTTCATGCAGCACACAAACTTCCAGTATTATGTGAAACTGCCTTCTCTGTTCAGTCAAGATGGCAGAACACTGTACAGTCTGAAGATAAAAAGGGTCTGCATAATATAGTGTTTCAAATGTCTAGAGTTGTGCAGCCAGAATAATCTTTCTAGCAACCACCAGAAGTAACAATTTCCTTTGCATGTATGAAACAGGATGTTAATTAATACTTTACCAGCTCCATTAGATGATTAATGGCCAGCATTACAGCATCACGAGATGGCGGATCCATGAGTTTACTCAGAAAATAAGCAATTCCACCAAGCTTTAGAATCTGGAAGAAAGCAAACAGAAACAGCAACCTGCAGCACTTGGAGAAAGGCGGCTACCTATCTAAAACTAGTGCACAGTGACCATGCTAATTACAAAAGGTGTGAATAGTTCAGTTTGAATTTAGGATTTTGCTAATTAAGCAAGGACAAAAATAGAAATGTATTGGTTGAAAATTTCACCACATCTATACTACTTCATTCAGAATGTACACACATGGTATTCCTTAGGTATGCACTGGAATTCAGTATAAACTTGCAAAAAGGAAACCCATATCTACTTTAAAAGAATTTTACCCAGAACTGTTCTTAAGGAATCCTCTCTTCACTCACTGGCATTTTCACAGAAGCACTTCTGATTAAATGATTTTTTTTTTTTTTTGAAAAAAAAGCACAGTTGAAATTTGCATCAACACTTCAGCTTTTATTTATCTTAAACAATCATTTCTCTGGGTTTGACTGTGTTCTGCCAAAACTGCTCCAATTATTAGCTAAATATATTGTTCTTATGGTGTAACTGAATTTAGACTTGAGGACAACTCTAAGCTCAGGTTGCAATAATTTAAGCTTTCAACCTTTTATACCGAGAGAAAAGTGAACACCTGCAGACACATATACCTACCTTGATTTGTAAGCAGAGTTCTTCCAAAGGTGTCCTCAAGATCTCTGGTAACTGATAATCATCCAGAAGGCTGGCACGCAGCCCATTGTACAGATGGTAACAGTGGCCTGGCTGCACTCTGGAATATATTTAAAGGAAAAAAATGTATGGGTTTTTATGACATTGGGACACCATGATTGCATTTACTTATAAGCAGTTTTTCAAAACACTCCGGAAAATTAGAATGGATTTATCTACAGTTGTAATAGTTATTGCAGCTTTCAGATATGCAGACTCATCAACAGGGAAACAACGCCACAGAAAACACAAATCTCATAACTGCTCAAAAGGAACAATGAGAAGAACAGAGAGAAACTGTACGCGTGTGAACAAAACAGAAAATACTCCACAAGGAATTCTGAGACAGTAGAGAAGCTTCAAATAATTTGGTACACAGCTAAGCAGTGTTAATTTGTAGGCAATTTTAGCTTTGATATATTATAGCCTCAGAAGTGAGGGCAAATGCTACCAATACAAGTAAATAAATAATAGAACACCAGATTTATTATTCTGTGAGAAAGAAAGAAACTCACGACTAAAACACAGCAGAAATTACGTCAGCCCACTAGGAAAACAATGAAATTACTCCTTCCATAACAGTGACAGAGCACTGTGCTACTGCCTGCTTCTGAAGGTGTGAATAACCAGGCAGTACCTCCAGCACACATGTGCATCAAGGCCAGCTGAAAGCTAATATCACCACGTTTCCTAGCCAGCCTCATCCTTACCTTCCTGCTCGACCTTTCCTCTGCTTGGCGTTAGCTTTGCTAACCCACTCTGCAGCCATTGTGCTAATGTTGTTCTGTGTATCAAAGTGGGTTTCTTTGATCTTTCCACCATCTATAACAAACACCACGTCATCTATTGTAATGCTGTTTAAAAATAAAGAGAAAATAAATAACTTTCCATCTTTGCAAGCTTAACCTATAATTTTACAAATTCAGGCTTTCTTTGTCCCCTCCCAAACCATGAGTAGGAAATAAAAATTCTGGTATTGAGCACGTCATGAATAAGTGTGTTACTGAGCAGTTCCATAGTAAGCTTGCTTTATTCTGACAGGTCTGGCATGAGTCACCATATGCAGTTTTGAAGCCTGCAGAGGACAGCCAACTCAGCTATCACACACATATCATCATCCACATTTTGATTTTTTTAGATAATTCTCAGAGGAAAATTCCAGCTTGGCCTTTATCTTGAGACACATTTGCAATTTAATAAATGAATGATATGAATCTTTAGAACATACTTTGTAAAATATTAAGCAGGCTTATACTTTTATTTACTGTATCAAAATTACAGGTGCCACACGTATGTCTAACTGCTATTTACCTGGTCTCTGCAATGTTGGTAGCAATCACAATTTTCCTGACTCCCGGCGGGGTCTTCTTAAACACCTGTAATTATCCACAGCCCATTTATATGTTTGAAAACCCAAACACATGCACAATTATACTACTTCGTTGTTGTGAAATGTTACTTTATTGTATAACAGAAGAAATGCATACCTGAGTCTGGTTAACTGTAGGCATCAATGAATGCAAAGGGATGATAATAAACCTATCTGAAAATTAGAGGAAAAGATGTGGTGTAAGCACAGGAACTTAAATTATACAGGGAAAGAAAAAATAAAAAAACAAGAATGCAGAATAGAGGAACTATGCTGCGAATGAATGACTGCTTCTATTTCTTATTCTGAATAATGGCATATGTACACGTTTGCTTTCTGTTAGCAGTTCAATACATCAATGTTAAATGCAGGTGATAAATCCTAATAGAGATGTAAATTTAACAAATTAAACACCAGCCATAATGAAATGTGGGGCTGGGAGGGAAGGGGAAGTAGAACCTTTTTGTAAAGATGACAACTGTACTGTAAGCTCAAGATATTACTCTCAGAACTTGTCTTTTACCAAGACTATCACCACAACAAATATTCGTCACTGCTCATTTAAACAAAGGGCCAATTCTGAAATGCACTCTTGTTTAAAAACAAAAATCCGTGAGCTACCTGAATATTTATCTGTGATAAAAATAATCATCCCATTATTCTACTGAAGCAGCTTACATTAACCTCTAAAAACCAAAACAATGCTATGTAACATTAACCATTGAAAAAACCCTTTTCTTTTTTTACCTGACTTAAACATGACTTGTGACATCAAGAGATCATGCAGAGAGCTAATGTTGTCCCACCCTGGAAGAAACACCAGAATTGCACCGTCCTACAGGTAAGTGAGAAAATGAATGGGGAAAGGAACATGTTAGAATACGTTACATGCTGTGCAAAAAACCAAAACAGCTCCTTGCCCACTGATGTATGTCTTTCAGCTAAGTGATATCCAAAACCTCCTCATTTGGACAACACTTACAGGTTTATTTTCCACAAAAAAAAAGTGCCACACACCTATCTAAGCTTAAGAAACCCAAATTTCTTTTTAGACACGTTTTCCCTGCTGTGTTTTAGATGCTGCCATACAAACATTTGAAGAATTTAAGCTACAATGAAACACGGAAAAAACTAATGTTTGAGTTTTCAAGGAAGAACAAAATACAAAACAGTAAGTTTATCCACAGCTTCAGCGCTCAATCAGTTGAAATTTCAAATAATTTGACATTCTTAATAACCGAAATTTTCAAGAACTCAGCTGAAGTATCAGCTCTTCCGTGGCTGTTTCTGAATAGAGAAATGAATATGTAACTCCAGATTATATGTTATATGTAACTTGTGTAAGTTACCTGAGATAACAGAGGTTACTCTTACTTCAAGCACAGAAGCACTCTTATAATAACATACCTAACAGTATTACTGGAAAATCCTTTTTATTGAGACTCTAATTAGGATTTTCAGCCTCAGAATCTGATGTCTTTATATTCCAAGAGCCACTTCCTCTAACACAAACAATAGAGAGAAAGCTAGAAATTAAAATTAATACTGTAATTAGGTATTTAAAGATACTAGATTGCCTTAAAAACATTTGAAAGACCTCATAACTACATAACAGATGAGAAGAACGAAGTTGGTAGTTATTTATAACAGCCACTGGCCTCAATTCAGTTGTATCCCAAAAATACGACACTATGAAACAGAAACGTACCTCTTCTTCCAAAACAATGTGCCTGATAAGTGCTGCTATTAGGTCAAGGTCAACCTTGTCATCATCCATCATTTCCAAGGCATCTATAGTACTTGCTGAATACCTACAAGCATCAAAAGCAAGCATATTGGTACACCCACAGTCATGCACTCACATCCATCACAATTACTTATCCACGTACACTGCTGTTGTTCAATTTTTTTTCTTAATCTGGAGGTACAATACTTGAACAGACAACATGCTCTCAAGATTCTGTTTAGAATAACTGTTGCCAGTTTAGTAAGCTAAGTTAAAGAATGTCATTGTGACTGCACTGTATTTCTCTTCTCCTCACGGATTACCTAGGATCTGTAGCCTGAGCTCACCCTTCAATTCATCCCTCCCTCTCAGTGAGTACAGGAAGCATCTCATCTCTTCAGCCTTTCATTTTCCTGAAATCTAATACCAATTAGCAATTTGCTCCACAGACTTGGCTGAGAAAGGGATGAAGAAGTACAAATGGGCAAGTGGATGATGGGATAGAACAGACAGCACTGATCACTTGTTTCCTTAGGAGGGAGACAAAACAGAGCCATCTTGATTAATTATTTTTATCAAGCTGAATGCTTAGAATGTCACAAACTGCAGAGGTAAAATAAAACAGGAGAAAAATGCTGATCCTGAGATACAATGGCCCCACTATCTGATTAACTAAAGGGGCCAAATGCTGGCAAGCAAAAAGAATGTCTCAAGTGGCAAACCTCTGCCGGGTGCTCGAGAGGCAAAATGCTTTAGCTGGTTTCAAACCACTTATACTGAAATATTCTGAGGAAAAGTCTTTTGGAAAAAAGAACAGTAGCACATTTTGTATTACGTTGATTACAAGACTGCCATACTGTGAGATCTATCACTGAAAAATAAAAGAAGCCCTGAAAAATGACAAAGCTGACAAGAAAATAAATCAGGAACAAAGCATAAGAAGCCCAATGCTATGCTGAAGACTGTAATGGGCAATAATGTCAGCAGCAAGTGAACCTGACAGCTGTAAGCTCTCTAAAACCTTGCACATGCAAAGGAAGACAGATCTGTGACTGGCTAGATTACTCCAGCAGTCAGAGCCAACTGTACTGGCACTTCCATCATTCTTGTCTTCCACAGCATTAAGTACTACATTATTAATGAAAGCACAGTATTAAAATACAGAATAAAATTCTGTTTCTCAGCTGAGAAACAAGAAAACCATAAACAATGTAAAACAGTAATTTGAGAACAACCTGCCCCGCAGCTGCCTTAAATATTCTGGCCATCGTTCCCTGTAGATTTCTTCTTTTTCTTCTTTTTCTGGCCTGCTTATATGTCCTTGCATGAAACCTTTCTTCCACCGTGGCCGACGGTCTGTGTTTTCTGGAGTATATCTTTCAAGTTAAGAACAAATTTAATTACATTTTGAAACTAAAGTCATTTGATCCAGCTGCATAGTTGTTTTTTCCAAACTGTGGACAATACACAGTATTTCAGCTACATCATATAAAATAATTGGATACACTTCTCCTGAAAAAGTTTACCTATTTTTTTAAATAAAGAACAGGTGCCATCTCCAGTAAGCATGACAACAGGTAAAAATAAGCAAACAATTCAAAGACGGGCTTATCAGCCTGAAAATTCACTACACCAAAAGAAAAAGCAGGACTTTTTCCTCCGCAAGCCAGTGTTTCCAGATTGCTACATTAAAAGCTGCTGAATGCCTCCTGAAAGCTTTTCTGCAAGATGATGTCTGCTTTCCAGCACAATTTTCCTTCTTAAAACAGCTGATTTTTGATAGGTTATTCATACGGCAATAATATTCAAGAATACCAATACACCAATAAAATGCCAAAACCAACCAAACTGTGAACTACAGTGCTGTCCAGAAAATACACTTACCTCAACTTCTCAATTACATCTTCAAGAAGGTATTCCACCACAGGAAAAGTGAACCCAGGTATGTGAATCATTGGACAGTTATCTATCAAAAAAGGTGTAAGTTGTTTTTAGAACAACAAATAAAATGCTGCACTATTAAAGTCCACAAGTATTTTTCACTGTTTCTGCAATACAGTTCCAAGTCTATGGAGGTTGTTTTGTTGTTTCCCCCCCACTTTTGAATTCTCACAGAAGATGTTGAATTCAATTCCAAATAAAGTGACTGAACAGAAGCAGCACAGGCAGCAAGCAGTACTGCCCCCTCTCCTGCACGTTCACCTCTTTCCAGCTAGAGAATAAACACTGACATATGAAGAACGAAAGGCTTCACTCTGCTTGCCCACTCATGATTTCTAACATGCAGTAATCATCAGTAAATATTTACTACAGAAACACTGTGCAGAGTATTCCTGCAATACGTCCAAGTAACAAAAGCAGAAACATCTGCTCTTTATGGAATAGAACCGAGGAAATAAGAATCTCCAGCAGCTGGTGACTATCTGTGAAAAATGAAATCATTAATTCTTCTGATAAAAATCAATCTTACAATTTGAGCACTAGATAACAGATGTCTAAATTACTTAAGAGGAACATTCACAGGAAGCATTTCACCTACCAAAATACTCTGAGAACTTCTCTGCATTTAAAGTAGCACTCATTAAGATTACTTTCAGATCCAAACGAACATTCAAAAGGTCTTTTATAATGCTCATTAAAACATCTGATTGAAGATTTCTTTCGTGAATTTCATCAAGAACTACGTGACTAATACTGGACAAATGCCTAAAACAGAAGAACAACATTCAACGTTTACTTTTTGCAGTAATAGAAAACAGATTGTGTCACGGAATTAACTAGATCAGTTTATGCCCGTGACAGGGGGCAGTAGGCCCCTGCCCTCCCCACCCCCCACCTGGGCCCACAAAATGGGAAGGAAGGGGGAAAAGGAAAAAAAAAACAGCGGCAACAATCTATGGAGGTAAACTTATTTTACTAACTATGATATCGGAATGCAAAATAATACAATATAATACAATCTAATTGAAATTGAGACTAATAAATCCACTAAGATATGAGAGAGAGTTCCCGAGACCGAGTCAAACCTGAAAAGCTTGGAACGGCTGGGACAGCACCTCCAGCACCCACTGCCAGGCAGTAAGAGCCCGCCCCACTGGAAGGGTCAGATCCCGTGACTTCCGTAATGTATAGGGATAGGTACGTAGAATTAGAGCATTAACACTTTAATTCCAGTACATGATGTTTTGATGTGGAATATTGAAAATCAAATAAGCAAAAACCAAAACCATGACATTCCACCCCTTATTCTACATCACTACATCACGCTTAATATATATATATATATATACACATATACAGACAAACAAAATGATTAAAAATGCATCACACGCACACGTCTATATACATATACATATACATGGAATTACTGTCTGCACTCCCCCAGCATCAAATTTCCTTGTGGTACACATTGAACATCCCCATTTTCCTGCATTACCCACCAAGTAGATCCAGGTCCTTGGGCAAAAACAGTACCGCGGAGAGGTTTGCCCTTTCCAGAAGCTGGAAGAACCCAAACTGCTTTTCCCAACATGCTCTTTACGTGTACAACAGGGACCTTATCTCCCTCTACGGTATGTAGAGAGCTGGATTGGGTAGGACCATCACGATTGATAGATCCTCTGGTATTGACTAACCAGGTGGCTTCTGCCAAATGCTTCTCCCAGTGCTTAAATGTTCCGCCACCCATTGCTTTCAGCATTGTTTTTAACAACCCATTGTATCGTTCGATTTTACCAGAGGCTGGTGCATGGTAGGGAATATGGTAAATCCACTCAATGCCATGATCTTTGGCCCAAGTATTTACAAAAGAATTTTTGAAATGAGTCCCATTATCTGACTCAATTCTTTCTGGGGTGCCATGTCGCCACAGGACTTGTTTCTCAAGACCCAATATGGTGTTTCGGGCGGTAGCATGGGGTACTGCATATGTTTCAAGCCACCCAGTGGTTGCCTCTACCATGGTAAGCACATAACACTTACCACTGCGGGATCGTGGCAAGGTGATATAATCAACCTGCCATGCCTCCCCATATTTATACTTTTGCCATCGCCCTTCCTCCCAGAGTGGTTTCATCTTCTTGGCTGGTCCGATGGTAGTGGGGTGTCTCAATTGATTTTGATGTGGAATATTGAAAATCAAATAAGCAAAAACCAAAACCATGACAGATTGACAGATGAAGCTCATTAGTCAAATCATTTGATAATCATATTCAGTTTCTTATTAAATAGGAAAAAACTTACTTATCTGACTGGAGCCACTGAAGGACAATTCCTGTGGTACAGTACAGAATTGAACCTTGTTTCCTTGGTAACCGACTGAAAGAGATACATTAAGAGTTCTTCAGCTCTCTTCTTTATTTTACAAAGTACTTCAGAAGCTTAAAATCAAAACGCAGTCATTACAGACATTGTGAAGCACACCTCACACTTGAACCTGCTCACAGTTCAGCTGGAGGAACAAGGAATAGGCCAGCAATGCAATCTTTTTGTATGGAGAACAACCACTGCCAGAATCTCTGGCTTCCTCATTACTACATGATCTGCTGATCCAAATTCTTACAGTTATCTGAACTCAACACAGACAACAGCTAGAGGCTTAATTATACGGCACTGTGACGTTCTTGATTAACCACTGAAGACAATTGCAGATGAGATTCAATGAACTAGTGCCTTGAGCTCAAACACCACAAGGACTGAGCTGCTGTATCCCTCCAACAGTATTTCCATCAATGTTAAGTGAGGTGTTACTATTTGCTGGAGATGTTCCATGTATTTTTTTTTGTATTACCAATGACTCCAAACACAGTAACTTTAGTTCTGTGGCACTGGGTCTACGGACTCTTATTAATGAGCCTAACTCCTATTAATTGATCTCAATAAAATTGCTCACTAGCTCAGTGCAGCAAATATATAACTTAGCCCAGAAATATAACTTACAACATTCCTCTTCTTCAGCATTTCATTTTTTTTCTTGAAATTCATGGATTACAGGCATCAGTTTTACCTCCATCAATAGCAGGGCCTTTTAGAATATCTTAATAAAGCACAGTTTGGTGCTAACCACTGCTACACAGCTTGTCATTCAGAACTGACTTTGCAAATCAACCTCAAACCACTCATTTACACACAACAGAATGTAACAACCACACTCGCTCTATCTTTCAACCCATTATTCCCTATACCAGCTGTTCAGAGGAACTTCATTTGGAGAAAGTAGGAGAGTAAAAGCACTTGTCTACAGTAAGAGCTAATTCTCACTTATTTCTTGCTTGAATAATAATAGATACCACTTCACAAGAAGGAATAAAAATTGCCAAGAGAGCCTCTTCTACCTCTGTAGACGAATCTGGTATCCTGTACTCTTGCCATTACCACATGCTTCTGCCCTTTCAGCTGCAACTCTCTCAGCCACCTTGAAACAAAAAACCATATGCATTACACATTAAATATATATGCACCAAAAAACCCAAAAGGCTGAGCTACAATTTAACTACTCACCAGTAGGAAACACCTAGAAACAAGATGCAATGCAGACAATAAAAAAAACTGAAAAGCACACGTTTTCTGAAAGCCAAGTGATTGTTTTCTGTCAGCAACACAGAAACAGGCTTGCAACCCAAAATATATTTTAGAGAATTAAGTGCCATATTCTTATTGATAGGCTTCTAAGAGACCTGAAACAACACTACTATTCGTTTCAATTCACAACTTCACTGCCCAGATCCATTAAAGCACCATTATAAATAATTATAAATAATTAGAATACACTGCCTGTATTCTAACTACTACTAGAACATATGAAACGACACATTAGTGTGTATTAACAAAGTTGTTATTTGCAATAGAGTCTAGCAGGACTAATGACGAATACATAGAAAGCAACATGAACTGGCTGAATGCCAACCTTGAGCTTTAAGTTCAGCGTGATGCCATCTGAAAGTTGATTTGTCTCTTTGAGAGGTGTGCAGTATTTATCTGGTCATTTCCTTCAGATCTTAGCTATAATTAGTCTAGCAGACTGTATACTCAGCTAATTAACTTACACCAGCTCCTTATGCCCAGTACAAAATATATTTTCATTCAAGCAGAACGAGACAGTAATTTTATCTCAGAATTACAGCGAGAGGTCAGACACTAAACAAGCAACAGCAGCCCCACCTCATGGCACTTACTGAGATAGCACTGATCCTCCTGGGTTGAGTACAAACAATTCTGCACGTGGAGCCTTTCCCTCGCTCTATGTAATCATCCAGGATAAATTGTGTCACTTGTGTTGTCTTTCCACAGCCGGTTTCACCACTTATTACAGTCACTCGATTATTGTTTATGAGGTTTACAAGTTCCTGTTTCCAAAAAAAAAAAAAAAAAAAAAGTTTTCAAGTATTATGATCCACAACAGATATCTGAAGTATTTTGGTAAGCCCCTATTACTGTAATACAACCTTAAAAGAAAACACACTGGTAACTAAGGAGACAGATACTTACCTGTTTCTATTAATACTACAGTCTACACCACACAGAAGTAATTCTTACAAAAGTACATTTGAACTTCACATGTGTAAGGCTGATCTACACATGTTCATTTATATGAATAATGCCACCATTACTGATGATGCTGCATGAATTCCTGTATATCATGAAGCAACGAACCTGAGATACATACTGGAAAAAACTAAAACTCAAGTCAAAACTCTGGAGGCCTCAGTACCTTCGTAAAGGGCAAGAAAGCTTTTCCTCCCATTGGTCCCACTTAAACAAAATTTACACGAGAAATACATCTCCTTTCAAATTAAATACACACTTACCTGTCTCATCCCATACGAAGGGAGTTTCTCTCGAAATCTCTGAGAAATGAGAAAGTAACAGTTTTAAAATACCATTTCAACACTGAATTAATACAGCAGGCTCTTACTATGACCTAGACTACACTCAGAAACAACAGGACAAACTTCCCAGCTTAGGCTGAACGGGGCCACTAGAAATGAACTTAATTCCATGCACGTTTTCAATGTCATTACATTCAGTAAAAATGTAGAACAGTTCAGCACACAAAGAGGTACATGCAGCTGAAAGACCCTGAACCATTCTCCCATCTGATGGATGCTAAAAGGATTTCGTTGGGCAGCTCTACATATGGCCATCAGAATAACTTTTAAGAAGTGTCCCCTCAGAGCTCATGACCCTACTTTTAGTTTTATAAATAAATACACAGATAAAATCCTTAAAAAATAAAGTCAGAACTCCCACCCAACTAAACGATACCAACACTTGAAATGTTGGATTTTAAGCAACCAGAAATCATCACTGACAGCCTGCTTTTTTAATCCCTGTCCTGCTGACACATCCTGTAAGTGTTGGTGGATTATTATTTTTTTTTTTTGGACAAAGTAGTATCTGTTTTCTCCTTAACGCCTGGGAAAGTACCTGCATTTCAATGTATCTAGGATCAGATTTCTTCTTTCTTAAGTCTTCTTTAAGTTGCTCATCTAAATCCACATCTTGATCACTTTTTTCAAAGAGGTATTCCACATCCTGATCAAGAAATGTTTTCTCCAAGACTGGCCGCCGTTTTACAGGAGCTTTTTCAGCTTGTTCAGCAGCTGGTTTCACTTTTGGAGGCTGTTCTGGAGCATGTCTGAAATGAGTGCAGGGAACAGAAACTTCAAAGATTATCCAATGTATATTTGACCTCTGAGGAAAATGCAGGAAGCCGTACCAAGCACACCTTACATCTGTTGCTGAGATATTATGCTGACAAACTACTTGACCCCCAACCTAAAGAGAACATGGCAAATGAAAACAATTGAGTCTGAAAACCACCAGTTAACAAAGATTCTACAACAGTATCTAAAGTGTAATGTGTTCTTTTCCTCTAGAGGAAGCTAACAAGGCCACAGAACGCCTCAGAGAGCTGCTGCTCCATAACTGCATCTTTCAACCAGGGACTCACCTGCATCACACCAGCACGAGGCACGCAGCCACCCATTTCGCTGCTATTATTTAAAGCCTTTTAAGATAAAGCGTTAAGAACGAGCCCTACTTCACAGAGACCACGAGCTTCCCAATGCTGCAAAACGTCAGGAAAGGGAACCTGATACTTAGAAGCTCCGGCCACCTGCAGGGCTTTGCAATCCTAAGAGAAAATCCGGCACTCTAAGCTCACAATCAATCCGGAGGAGCCCTTTACAGCAGCGCCCGCCGCCGGCCCCCTCGGGAGGGCCGAACACGTGGCAAAAACGGAAAGGACCTCCGAGTCCCCCGCCACCCCCCTCCGTCCCTCGGCGCCCCCCGGCCCCCGTGCAGCCCGAGGAACGCCCGACCGCCCCGCGCGCGGGCAGATCTCCAGCAGTCCGACGTTCTCACTAAAGAACGCCACCAAATCCTTCCTGCCCGCCTCCTCACCCGTCCTCGTCCCCGGACCACCACGACATGGCTTCCTGCTCCTTCTCGGCCCTGGGCTGCACGGCATTCAGCAGCTGCACGATCTGCTCCTCCCGCCGCTCGTCCATCCGCACCACGGCGCGCTGCGAGAAACGCGGCGGTCAGCGCTCAGCGGTCAGCGCTCAGCGCCCGGAACGGCACCGCCCGGCACGGCACGGCACCGCCCGGCACGGCGCTCCCGGCGGCTCCGACGCCCCGCAGAACGCGCGGCCCACCTGCTGCCGGTCCGCCTCCTTGCTCTTCTGGCCCTGCTTCCGCGCGTACCACAGCCCGATCTCGCGGCCCTTGAGGTGGCTGGGATGGCGGCCCCGCCCGCCGCCGCGGCCCCCGTGCCCCCCGCCGCCGGAGGACGCGGCAGACGAGCCGCCATCGCCGCCGCGGCCCCGACCCCGGCCCCAGTCGCGGCGCTGCTCGTAGCTCATGGCCGCCGGCACCCGACGGCACCCAACGGCGGCGCCGCCCGCCTCCTCCGCCGCCTCACTTCCGCCCGCCGCAGGCCCCGCCCCCAGCGCGCTCCGCGGGTTCGAGGCCCGGCCCGGCCGGAAGCGCCCCCAGCAACCCGCCTCCATCGCACGGCGCAGCGCCGCCCTCCCGGCGGGCAGCACGCGGCGAAGGCGCCGCACGCTTCTGTGCAGGGGAAACGGCCTGCAGTTGAGGGAGGGAAGGGAAGGGAAGATTGAGGTTGAGTGTCGGTTCTGTACTGTGAGAGCGGTGAGGTGCTGGAACAGCTGCCCAGAGAGGCTGTGGATGCCCCGTCCATCCTTGGAGGTGCTCAAAGATGGAGCCCTGGGCTGTCATTAGACACAGAGGTTGGCAGCCCTGCCTGTCGCGGGGGGGGGGTTGGAGCTTTATGGTCTTTGAAGTCCCTTCCAGCCCAAGCCATTGTATGCGACTACAATTCACACCGCTCTGCCACGCTCCACAGCTCACACTGCGCTGCAGGGCGTGCTCTGTGCGGTGTTATATTAAACATTTTAATCTCGATCGAACTATTCACAGAACTATTACTCCTTTAACAATAATCAATGTTCCTTTTGGTGCCTCAAAACACCACTGTGACACTAAGAACGCTTCCCCAGTCCCACCTCCTGCTTATTCTGTCCCTCCCAGCCTCCAGCCCACCCCACAGCAGCTCCCAGAGCATCCATGTGAGGGATGTGTGGGTCTGCTGCAGTTCTGTTGTGTTTCAGGTAGAAGGAAATGGCAGAGAAGCTCAGGCATGAATTCAAATTAACAAACAGGTGAGGAAGAGCAAGATCTCTGAGTTGTCAGCACGGAGAGCAGCAGAACTTTGGGTGAGGTTACCCTGAAGGAACAGGGGCTGAGTACAGAGCATGCAGGCATGGGAGGGTATGAGGAAATCTATCTGAAAGGTAAACGAAAGGAAGGCACGTAGGAAAGAGAGGAGAAATCCAGCAGGAAATATTTGTCCTTACTTTCCCTCCTCTCGTGCCACACCTGTGCTGTAACGCAGACCAGAAGGTGCCCCCTGCCTCCTCGCCCCTCACTGCACAGTTGACAGTTATCTCACAGCTTTCTGCAGAACTGCTGGGGAGCAAACAGAGCCAAGGAAAATCACCAAATAAATCATTGGAAATCCAAGAAATGTTACAAGATCCCTTCATGAAATGTGAGCAGTGTGCCCATGCTAACCAAACATGGAAGAACGTGACAAGTCCTACCGAAGAGCTCTCCTATGTCATCTCTCTTTAAAATCATTAAAGAAAAATTGCTTGTGCTATCCAAATAGTTAAAAAAAAATCTCAGGTTACCTTTGATTTGGGAATTAGAGAACTCTGATGGAAAAACCCTCAGGAAAAAAACAACTTTACTAGGAAAAAACCTGCAACTCTGGTCACAAGAGGGAAGTAAAACAAGCTGTCAGCTATTCAGCTGTTCACCCTGTTTGCAGGCACACGGTGAGGCAAGGTGTGCATGGGCACTGGGGGTAGAAGCAATAGGCAGCAGTGACTGACTACCTTTAAATCAGGCTTAAACAAATAACTTCTATGCAGTCTTATTCTACTCATCATGTAAGATGTGGACTGATGAATAAACTGTCATGGAGAGATGAGCAGAGCCACAGGAAGGCTCCGGAGGCCAAATCTGGTACGAGGACACAGTAGCTTTCAGTTGTTCCTCCCCTAACTCTTGGGAAAAGGTATTCATCCGTCATTGCTCTTCAACAGAAGTGTGGGATGAAAATGAGACTACAAGGATCTACTTTGGTTCAAAACAGATAACGGTGCCAGCAGATCTGGGCACCCCAGTAATGGAACGGAACTGCAGGCTATCCCAAACACAACATACATAATGCATAAGGCCATTACATTTAACTGATGTTATAATCAAATTACAAAGCAAGAATCATATTTAACTGATTTCCTCATCACTTTGTGGGAACATCACTTGTGGAACATTAACAGATTTACTCTGTTGAAGTGTAATTGGGCACCGAAGCAGTGCACATGAATGGGAGGTGCATAAATCGGATTTCAATGCCAGGGAAAATTGCCTTTTCTATGCATGTAACTACTGCATTTCAGTCCTGTTTGGGACACTGAGGAAAACACTGAAGAACAACACTGAGGAAAAAAAATACACATTCTAAAGGAAACATCACAAATCCAAATATCTGCATTAGATGTGTAGGTTTAGATGTTGGAAGGATAGCGTATCTATTTATTTAAAGATCACTTTCTAATATATATGTCAAGATGTATTTCTTAAAATGCTCCCAGTATTTTGCCAATTACTGGGCCTTTTAAAATCCCTTTATCCACTGCCCACATTCATTTTTCATCCATTTCAGCAGCACACTATCAAGATGCAAAACACACCATTTCTTTATGCAGCAGCATGTTCTCAGAGAGGTCAGAACACAGCGCTCTCCTTTCAGAAATCCAAACTGAGATTCATCCAAGTCAAATTCCTAATGATTCCCTAAGGTCTAATTCCTGACAAGAGCACAAAACTTGTCGGGTGAACGCTGAGGTGAGACACAGCCGGAGTGGTCCCATGCTACAGCTCTGACCCCAAGGAGTAACCTTGCTGTTACACACCAGCACTGCAGCACTCAGGAGAGCTGCCTCTATGAGAAAAGATTTGTCTGGAAGGACTGAAGGTCTTTAACATTACCTTGTTTATAAAACAAACAAAAGAGTTCAGCATACAGGAGTGTATGGATAATGTAGCTGCTGCTTGGGACTAGAAAAGCAGAATTTATTCTGCTCTGAGACATCTAAATCTGCAAAATTCATGAGAGAAACACAGCAGTCAGAGCTTCACCCTGGAAATCATGATAGTGATACATACCAGGAAGTGGAATCATGTTCCAGAATGTATATATCAACCTCAAATCTATAAAGGTAAAACAGCGTGTAAGTAAAATTTAATTATTACTTTTTATGAAATAGCATGATGTTGTCAGTTGCATATTCCATCATGACTAGAATAAGAAATATACACTTCAGTACTGGGCCGTATCTTCTATTTCAATTAGCCCTTCAATTGAGGCATTCGGGATTTGAAGCCTGGTTCTGCTTCTTACATATTTACTTTTCTTGTAACTCTATTAGCTTAACTTTCTTCTCAATGCGTGTGTGTGCCATGAAGGGAAACTCTAACACACTGGATACACTGCTTACCTAAGATTATTTCAAAAATTCTTCTGAAGTTTCCTGTTTTCTACCCTTTGAATTATTCAACAGCCCAACTCCTAAGAGCAGGGGGAGGGCAGGGGCTGATGCAGGTCACATTTTCTGAGGGACTTTCTCAGTCAGTTGCTATGGTGTCTGAGCAGAGATGAGGTCTCTTTCAAGTCACCTTCAAACAGTTCTTGGCAAACACTTTGCCCTCAAATGTCAAGCTGTCACTGAAATACATTAAAAGGTCAGGAAGGATAAACAGAGAAGGAAGACTTTTTTTTTTTCTTAAAAACCATTACAAAGTAAGCACTTAAAAATGTAAGTCTAAATAGATTTCATAAACTGATAAATGAAGACACTTTGACAATTACCAAATGCAGGATCCAGGAGTTTTCTCTTAGAGCTTTGTGACAGGAGCTGTTATCTACTGATTAATTACACCTTGGGCTTCCAGACACTTTAAAATGTTTAATTATGTGAGTCACTAAAATAAAATATAAAACAGTCAGACATTCATACATGATCAAATTTACAGATTCATTAAACAAAATGTATTTTTATCACACCAGCAGACAACATTCTACAATTAGGTCGAGCTCAGGGTCACAGCTATGCAGATTTTTAATGCCTCCAAACCTGGACACAACCTAAATGTGCCCATCAGAGAACATGACCAAACTGAAGCAGTGATGCACTGCATCCTCCCTCACAACCTTCTTCTGGATTGAGCATGTCTGTTGCTATAAAGCAACTTTCTGAGTTCATCCTACAAACACAAAGCAAAGCAATACATCCAGAAACAGCAGAATGTGTCTCTCTGCTGCATGCACACGGATATAACCTATTCAATAGACTTACCACTGATTGCTCCATCTACTCTAGTTTCTTGTTAAATCTGAAGTGTAACACAGCATTGCAGGGGTAATAAGAGCCTTGAGACAATCCTATGAGAACCTTTGTTTTCACCTTGGAAGAGCAGCACATGAAAAGCACATCTTGCACAGAGCCATCCGTCTCCATCACAGCAGCCTGCAGTCTCTGAGCCTGATTCTCCTCAGCTCTACATCACTGTCACACAGTGATCAAGGCGGCAGGCCTGTTTTATGTTGGTGAAGTGAGAAGGCAAATCACCTGTTCTTTCCACACCTCCATACTGAACACAAGCAGAACTGTTGGCCCTTTTGCTCTACCTGTTCACAATCCATAAAGGAATGCTAAATAGGGCTGTTCTTACTTTTGTACGTTCCCACTGGAGTGGATAACAAGGTGACTGCAAACACCTAAATGATTATGTTGTCATTGAAAACTGAATCCATTAACTAAAGAACTGGTGTAACTTATAGTCAAACCTCTGAAAGTCCTCCTGAAGTCTACTTCTGTCTAGATAAAATGAATGACACAATCTCAAAAAACAAGCTCTCAGTCAAAAAACATTAGACTTAAGGACTCCATTCACTGTTTTAGCCTCGAATTTGACAAGAAACAGTCTATTCACAGGTTTTAGTTTGATTTCAGATTTGGCTCTAGGTTTCCTGTAAGGCAGCATAAGATAGGCTCCTCCAAAAGGGCAGGAAGCTAATGTGGGCAATCAGCCTCAAGCTGAGGTCAACAGGTAAGCTGGGTCTCTAAGTTTGGCCTCCTTGAACAGCCCTGTCCCCTCTCCTAGGAGATCAAGGAGGCAGAAAATGGCACACTTTAGAGTAACTAGCATAAAATCATCCAACATTTGACACACTCGATGAAAGAAATGTCAAGCCATGAGAACATATTTTCACAACGTTGGTCTTACAAAATGTGCATGCTTAAGTTTCAGCTACCCACATTCAAGGGTCTATACAATGGCCACTTACAGAGACATTACATATCAATCACGTATGGAGCAGTAGAAAATTAAACCATGTAGGCAACATACAATCCCTAACCAAATGCATGGCTTAATCTTAGGCTTGTGCTACATATTTTCAGTAAATGTTTCAAGTCTGGCACATCAGAACTGCAACAGTCATTGAAACCTGTTACATTTTCCTGTGTGTAGAGCTGTTCTCTCATTTTCTGGCTTCCCACAGACCACCCAGTGCCAACAAGCATGCAATGGTGTCTTTTAAGACTTTATTTAGGATTCCTTTCAGATGCAAGTCTTCCTCAAATAAAGAGATATGTAAATAAGTTGAATTTTATTACGCAAAGCTGCAAAGCACTGAAGCGTTTGTTTTCCCATTTGTAAATGTTAACTATTTAACAGTGTACCCAAATGAAAATAATTTATATACTAGGAAAAAAACAACCCCAAAAAAACAGTTGGCATTGTATTTGTTAGTGTAACATGAGTCAAGAGGAGCAATGTCCACTGAATCAGTTTAAATGTTTAGATTAAATATCTTTTAATTGCTGTTGCCATCTTCTTCCCGTTTCCTGTATGCTTTATTCAACATCTGTATTTCTTCCTGATAACCACCTCTCTCCATGTGCTGCTTTTTACTATTCTGCCGGTGAGCTTCCACAGTGTCTGGAATTGTTATGTTAATATCGCTGTCAGGATTGTTTGATGGTATGAAGAGTGAGTAGGAAGCAGTTTCCCCTAAATCACATGAGACAAATCTGTTTTCTTTCCGTGAATAGCGTAAGGATGGAGATCTTACCTGTGTGGAGGACTGGCTGATATTACTGATGATGGAAACAGTATCCAGAGCCTCTTCATTGTCACAAATTTCCAGAACCTCTAAATGAATTTTAACACTTGTATCAGCGAATGAATTAGGACACTCCTCTGGGTTGGGGTCATGGCCAACACTTTTAGATCGATACACTTCGATTTTCTTTGACGTAGGTGTTATCTTCTGTCCTTCAGTGCTTACCTCGTATGTAGACAAAGAGAGAGTTTTTCCTGTGGGTGCCTGAAGTGACACAGTTCCTTGAAATGCACACAGAGGAATAGCTAAGGCCCCACCTGATCGCTGAAAAGGGAAAGAAGGACCATTATCTACTGCTAACTTCTGAAGCTAGCATCTATTACAAATAACCAGTCATGCTTAGTTTGTTCACTTACTTTACTGCGGTAGGCTTTTCCTTGCATTATTTTAGGAAATCAGTATCTGGTTTATTAAAGAGTATAAAAAAGTGTTCATAATCATGCACCTCAGTATAGAAAGTGAAGTCTGAAGTGACTGTGACTCAGTTACAGCTTATGGACTCTTTATGGTAACTGTCCACCATTAACATTTCATTGCAGCCAGTCCACAATTAGCACTGGCAGGCAGCTCCCTAGCCAGTAACAGCAGTGACCTCTTCAAGTGTCTTCACTTAATTTCTGCTAACTTCCAACTGACATGCTAATCTCCTGAGGCTCCATTCAGTCAGCAAAGGAGAGAAATGACAGCAAAGAACTTTACAAGAACTGGACCCCATGCTGACAGCACCTGTCTCCCTTGGGCACTTAACTAAATTGAGTGCCACCTAGCAACTGAGCTAAAATTCCTGAAACAGCTTTACAGATACCATTCAACAATTTTTCATATATATTTATTATTTTTATGATGGAAATAAGTATAGTGTCAGTAGGAAATCTATAGTGAGAGTTTTCACTGTGGTGGTGGTCAAAGGACCCATCCAGGTCTCACTCCCTCCCATGTTTCACACAAGTCCTCGACACCAATATGGATTTCTCTCTAGTACAGAGCTGAATTTATCAGCAGAGAAATTTTCATACACTTGAAGGTATAGAGATAAAATTTAGTTACAGCTTTGTAGTCCTAAAGGTCATCCTCAAACGAAGAATTTTCAGCAGTCTCAATGAAAGAAGTGTTTCAAGAGGCTGTAAATAAATGAAGGCATTACACAAAGAAATCACCATGTGTGCCTACATGGAGAACAGAAGCAGTTTGCTCCTGCGTGGACTGTGGTTGCTCACTCAGAGGCGAGCTGTTACGTGTTCCTGTTCACAGTGCTGCAGGACAGATCCTGCCTCTCTTCCTCACCTTACAGACTGGCATTTTTAACTGTGGAGGTCAGCCATTCAGTGACTCATATTGGAGAGAACAAACAGGCTCATCCTCACCTACTCTGCTACAACTGGGCTTTGACTGTTTACTGAGAGGTGCAAGGATTTGCATCCAAAATCAACTTCTTATTCCCTAAAAAAATACAATTAAAACAAACCTCAGCTTTGCCAAAGGCACATTCCTTGGCAGGCAGTGGAAGCACTGGTCTGGGACAGGGCAGATCACATGGAAGGGCTGCACTGGTCAGACAGAAACATACAACAGAGACTGCTGAAACTGGGAAAAATGGCAGAAACCAGCTCCACTCCCACCCAGAAATGTGCACTGAGGGCATTGAAAAGCTGCCAGCCACAAGGTGATTCACCCTGATCACTCTTCTGCACTGCTCTTGCTATGATGCTTTCAGGGCTCCTTTTGTTATATCTACCTCAGGTATCCCCAGATCACACTGCTATGTGAAGTGCAAGTGTACTCCTTCCGTGCTGCAGTTCCCTCTCCAGCTGCAGTGCTTCCATGCTGCCTGGAGGAGCAAACCACAAGCCAAACTTCCTCCTCCTGTCCTTCCTCTCTACGCACACACACACAGGGTCCCTCCTCAGCAGCACAGACCTTTCTGGAAGATTTGGGAATACAAAAAAATAGTACAGCAATCACGGGATGAAGTGAAAAAATGGCAAAGCATGACATGGGTGGAGCAACCAGAGGAAGACAAACGGTTGATTTATCAGGATGTGGAAGTCTGAAGCACTGAAGAGTTTGGATAGCACTCATATTTCTTCCTGTACAGTGCAAGGAGGGCTGAGGTGAGACAGAGACAGCTGCCTAGAGAGCAGGGACGTCTCTTTGTCTGTGGATGCTGGGACAGATCTACCTGCAAACAGAAGACAGCCCACAGAAACCCTTACAACAGGAGCAGTCTTTCTTTGTTAAGTTACAGGGAAACACTGAGCACACCCTTGGAAGCAGAAGCTCCAGTGTTGTCCTCCTGGGCTACTCACCTACGCTGTGCAAACTGTGTGAATACAAAGAAGGAAGAGGAGGAATAGCAAAAAACAGGTCTAATACTGGCAGCAGGGAGGAGTGTGAGCACTGCTTAGGCACTGCACAGAGCTCTTCCACTTGGAACAGTCCTGCTTATGTTTCCTTTCCAGTAATACTGAGAAGGTGAGTAGAAAGAGAGACATTTCAGGTACTGGAAAGGTGAAATTCTTCTTAGGGAGTTGGGAAAGGCAATTACTTGCTCATTATTAAAGGCAATGCTGTGATGAGATTTTCACAGAACAAGGCAGAACTTACAACCACACAGATCAATCAAGTGACACATTACCTCACCTTCATTAAAGAGCATGAGAAGGAAAATAGGTTTCATTGCGTGGAAAAATCTTGCCAGACTGTGACTTAACACAGTCCTTCGACAAAGAAATCTGGCTGACAAAATGCTAGCAGCTGGGTTGCCCTGCTGCAAGGAAAACAAAGTTGTATTAGTCTCCTCAACATATCTGTCAGACAGAAATGGTGCTCAAGTGTTCTTCTCATACTTAGTTATGGAGACAACATTGTGCTGTGCACAGAGGCAGCAAAGAACCCACACACGATTGTCAGGTCCAGCATCTCACTGCTAGCTCCCAGTTGCTGCTGGGGTTCTGGGGCTCCTGGAGAACAGCTCTGTTAAGGGCAGGCACCAGTAGCCCTTGTTTTAAAGCAAGGAATGGGGCACTTTTTAAAAGCACGCTGCTGTCACTTACATTTTCTGTAGTAACCAGGATTACTCCTCCAGGAAATATGTAAGTGAATCTATTTTCTTTTCTTTTTTCTCTCTAGGAAGCTCTAGTCCACTCATCTTCCACCCCAGATGCTTTACTAATGCCACCAGAGGACAGAGCAGCAAATTCAGATCTGGATAAGATCAAGTGGGCAAAGCCTGCTAAGTGTTCTGAGCAGTGTTCATGGAGGTGCAAGTTCAGTTTCTTTGATAGTGCAACACACTGAGCACAGATATAATAATTTGGTAACATGCATTTAAATGGTGCTTCCCTTGGACACTGATATACAAGCCCTGTAGCTCTGCTTCCAGCCCACCTCGCTTCAGCAATCAACGCTGGAAGTCCTTGCAGGGTCAGTTAAGCGTGTCTGCATTTCTGGCAGTTAATCAAGCTCTGAGTCTGAAGAACTGTCTAAAAAAGCACTTACATTATGCAGAAAGACATCAAAAGAATATGAAAAAATAGGTTAAATAAGAACTGATTACTTCGGTGCAAGGTTACATTCTGCTTTATAAAACACTACAGATTTGTCAGAGCGAATGTCAAGATGGAAGATCTGTCGGAGGGACCTGGAGGAGGACAATGAACAACCCTCACTTGCTGCACTGACTACTCCAGTTCTGGAAAACAAGACATTTTCCAATGATGGTAGAATTATTGGCTCTTTCTCTGTCTGTCTTCTGTTGAGAAATCGATATTTACTTTTTGAAGTGAAGCAGACACACCCTGTCTTATGCGCCTGGTCACCAACCAGAAAGCCCAGAAACTGCGTATTTTCAACTAGGAAAATTCCAGTAGAAATATTAGCCAATTACAGACACCTTTAACTAGTTCTACAATTAAAAGTATGCAGAAAATTAAGCCTATTCTGGTTCACAGATCTACTTAAAGATACTTATTGTTCACATGCACACAGGCATACATACATAGAAGTATTTATTTATTGTCCATACATATATGTATAAAAATACACATCTTTTTACAATTCATGTCTTCATTTCTGGTAGTTCTGAAGGGTTCCAGGTTGGAAATGCTCAAATGTTTCAATTCAAAAAATCATGGTATTCCCCAATCAAAATATTCTGTAAGCCAAAACTGCCATCTCTGTGCTGAAGCTGGCTTTAATTGAATCTCCTAAGATTTGCCCAGTCTCATGAAAGTTACAAACTAGCACTAAGCCCGAACTCTCGCTCTGGAGGATTGTTTTCTGCAGGTTTGCATCACAGAAACATCAAGTAGGTAATTTGTGAGATTGTTTACTCTATTTCCCATGCATTTCAGCACTCAGGAGTGCTGCAGGATCTGTGAGGCTGTGATGCTCACCCCGAGCTCCCTGCCAACAGGAGCTGCTCTGCCTGGTGTTGCTCTGTGTGCAGAGCCCACTCCCATTGTGTCTAGTTGCAGGGCACACTCCTGTGCTGCTCCTGCTGGAGGTGGCTGTGGGCTGTTCTGTCTGCTGGAATCTGGGCCAGAGCTCTCTCTGGAGGACTATGTGTACCAGCACATGCATTTTTTAACAAGCCAAGACAAAAAATTACAATGAAGTAAATCACGAATGTACTTGTTCCTTAAGGAGTGCTGATGCATTCTGAACAGAGAAATCTCTACATAATTGATAAAGCAAATGCTTTCATTATTAAATTAAATCATCCACCTCCCAGATTTCACAGAAGAGAGAAAACAGTTGTTGCTACGAGGCAAACCTTCAACGGCATCACTGCAGTTTTAGGCTGGGCCCTCCTCTCCCATTCTGGCTGATTCCAGCAGGTCCAGGTGAGCACTCTGACAAAGGGGAGGTTCCAGCCTGCGCAGGGGACTGCACCACACCTTGCAGCCTCTGGTCCAGGCAGGGCAGTGAGAAAGGGCCCACAGGAGTCACCTGACTTACAGCTTTCATGTGGCCCCTGCTGGGCCACCTACAGAGTCTAGGAAATCCACAGTCTGCCCTGGAGAGAAAGCAAGTTCTTGACCTGTGACTTTTTGGAGAAGGGAGGAAAGGGGAAGGTAATTTTCATACAATCACTGTATTTATTTCTCCTCACAAATCAGTGGAAAAGAAAACAAAATGCCCTTTTCTATCTTTCTAGCTTTCAAAAAAAATGGTTATACTTATGTGAAAAATTAATAAAGGAGTATTAAGCTCGAAGTACACTTCAGGAATTTTTTTTTTTTAATCACTTGTCAAAGCAGAGC